TTCCACACCCTTCTATCGCTCTTGGTCAAGTCAGTCAACAGTAGTTGAAGTATGATAGTTACATCAGATTCTTAGAAGTGTATTTTGCATATTGCCGTTGATATATTTACTAGCATTGACATTGACTTCATTATTTCACAATATTGACATGCTTGATAAATGTCAGAGGAACGTAGAGAATTTTCCATCTATTTATGTAAATTTGTCTGTCCATGGATATGCTGCTCATTATAATTAACGATATCTAGTTGCTGACAGCGTTGAGCATTCTGGAGGTCAACGTGTGCGGCTTGACTTGCAAAACTTGGACCACTTCTCTGTTTTCCCTGGCCAGGTATTTTTAAACAGAGTGCATCTGTTATTTTATTAGTACTTCAAAATGTTGAACAAAGAATGAACCTCAAATATTAATACTCAGGTGGTTGGTGTTGAAGGGCATAACCCAAGTGGCCATTGTCTCATTGCATCAAAGATTGTTGACCGTATTCCTTTGTCAGCTTCTTCCACGGAAAATCTCCCACCTACAAAGAAACAAGCAATGGATCAATATCTTCAGTCAACCAGTGCCGTGGTTGCTATGCCAGAGCTATCATTGGTGTGTAAGCTTGTATTGCATATAAATCTACTACAAAATTAAAAATAAGAGTGAGATACGTGCATTTGGGTCAGCAGTGGTTGAAATCTATTTATGCAATTTTATGAATATATGAAATGACTGTTAGACTAAGAAGTATCCTTGGATTTGGGTGTTTGTCTCCCATGCCTGCCTTTCTCATTATGAGCAACTTAAGGATACTGACACCTCATTTCAAATCTGTTCCTTTTAGCTTGCCATTTGGCAACAAACAATGTTGGAGTGCATTTCAGAGATATGGGTTGCCTTATTAGTGGTGGTAACCCATGCGGGCTTGTTAAACCACCGAGTTGAAGAGCTCTGATAGCCCTTTACAAGAATTCATTTAAAAGAGGAATACTTGGCATATTCATTATGTATGTCATATGATGAATATTGCCTTCCATAAGGGAGTCTTCTGGTTTGCAGATTTTGCTGCTCTCATTATCCATTTAGTTTTGTGTGGGTGTGTTTGTTTGCGCACTTTTCTTTCCTTTTTTCCTTTATTTTCTTGAGCTTAATTAGAAGCACCGAGTACAGTGTAGATGAAGAAAGGGACTGCATGCTTTGGTTCTACCTTTTAGATCTGCAACCAATCTCTTTTCTGCAATAGATGATTATACCATCTATTCTCTAAAAATTCTTCCTTTTTTGTGTCTTCTCAACATTTTACGTCCTTGTTCAGATTATAGCTGCGGGCCCTTTTACAACAGTTGATAACTTATTCTTTGAACCTCTTGCTGAGCTTCTGTCGTACGCGCGGCGCAAGCAGCCTCAATTGATCATACTGGTAATGAGTTTACACCTCTCATGCCAAAGTTGTACATAACTCTTTTTATTAACTGATATAGAAATTTCATTTTACCTTTGTAAAATCTCTTGACAGCTAGGACCATTTATAGATTCAGATCATCCTGAGATCAAGAAAGGAACTGTAGATAGGACATTTGATGAAATCTTTCAGGATGAAATTCTTGCAAGGGTATCTGTATATAGATAACTTCGTTCCCTTTTCGAATTGAGTTTGGCCTAAATGTTTATTTAGTTTCCTTCCTTTGGTTGGATTTCAGTTGAGAGATTATGTAGAATATATGGGTTCTGCTGCTCGTGTGATTCTTGTTCCATCTGTACGAGATGCTAGCCATGACTTCGTTTACCCTCAGGTGAAAATCTCCATCAGCTTAGTCATCTTGTTTTGTGTCATATCTGGTGTACAATATTGAAACATCTTTTTTGTTGCTTACAGCCAGCCTTCGACATTCAGTCGCCCGATCTTGAACATCAGGTATGCAGTGTACTGCCACATGTCAATTGTTCCTTAGAGAAGAAAAAATAGTCTGGTGATCATGTACCATTACTAACAAAGATTTTACATGTTTCCAGATAAATAGCATTACAAATCCTGGGATATTCTGTGCAAATGAGGTAGAAGCTGATATTTCAAATAACTGCATTCCCTTGTGTTTTCTTAACTTCTAAACATGCTTCTCTTCTCACATTCAAGATGCATGCTTGATTTATACTCTCACTGATAATTAATCTGAAGAATCTTGTAATAGTTCTGTCAATGCTGTCTGCCTGTGGCTAGACTGTAAAAATTGAATTGAGGATGATGTAAAAATAGAAGTTGGACTATACATCAATACTAAATATCTATCTCAGTAAGCAGTTGTGAGATTACTTTTACCTCTCGCCCCAAGTGTAATTGGATGTCTACATGCTATTCCAGTTCTTGATGTTGTGTTATATTCAGGTGAAAGTGGCTTGCTGTACGGTTGATGTTCTTAAACAGCTCAGTGCAGAGGAAATTTCACGAAATCCACAAGGGGGATCCAAGCAACGGATGACAACTCTTGCGAACCATATCTTAAACCAGCGCAGGCATGTTTCATGGGACACTATTTGTGATTCCTCGTTTATGCAGAAGCTCAGCTAACCTAATATTTTCTGAATCCTTTGTCTGTTTGGTCTTTTTTGCAAACTGCAACAGCTTCTATCCTCTATATCCACCAGCTGAAGGCGTACCCATTGATTTCTCTCTAGCTCCAGAAGCTCTTCAGATGTCGACAGCCCCAGATATACTTATTTTACCCTCAGATTTGGCTCACTTTGTTAGGGTAAGATGAGCTGTTGATTTCCAAACCAACATTTGTTTCTATCATCTCAACTATACCGAACTAAAGCAACAAACTCTGTCGAATAGACATGCATTCTCTTAAAAATGAAGATACACACAATCAACTTTTGAAATCCTTCTTAATTCCTCAATTTAATCTTCCTGCAGGTGATCTCCCTTGGGGAAAGAAGTGAAGGAGAAGAAGTGAAGTGCATATGTGTGAATCCTGGACGACTTTCAAGGGGAGAAGGAGGAGGTTTCTTCGTGGAGCTTAACTATCATGGAAGCTGTGATTCATCAAGTGCTTCAGTCCTTCGTATATAACATTGAGACACCCTAATCTTCCTGCAGTTCATGTGTTTAGCAGTAGCAAAGATTGTGGAAACCCATGAACTAAGCCACAGCAACGACTATGAAGAACTGGGGCAGACGGCTTGTCATGGATACCCAAAAAAGAAACAAGTGACTAGTCATGCTGTAGCTGCATCTATTCCCTCGGTGATTTCACACTTCCCCTTGTTTCCTTCCTATGTTAATATTAAGGAAGTCATTGTTCTGTCCAGCCGGTTATAGCATCCTAGGACATTTCTGAGATCAAATGTAGAAGGTTCATTTATACCCAAGAAGTGTACTGCCTTTGTCCATAGGAAGTAGAAAATGCAACATAGAAACTACTGTCACTATGTGTTAGTTCTTGGAGGATCCTTTTCTATATGATGAAATACAATATTGCAAGGGTAAAGGGTTGTCAAGTGTCCCTTTAAATTTTTTCTTATACTTGAGTTTGCAAGAGTAGTTATTTTCAGTTTCTGGGAAGTGTTAGATTAAAATATGTGAAAAATTGATTACAAAGGGTCAAACGAATATTAATTATTTTTTTTTCAGAAACTCAAATTTAACTTTTGAGAAGTGGAACCACCTTTTGCTCAATTTGCAAGTAGAACCTATCTGTTTCAATCAATTTTATAACTTGAGCAATATGCTAAATATATGAATGATCCAGATGACAGAATATATGTTATTTTAATGTGTTTAACAGGTGCTAAGATAGGACCAAAAACTATGTCATTACAAAAACTTCAAAGCAAAGTAAATAACAAAATATACGGACTAAAAGAAATGACATTGGAAATTACTTCCCTTTTGGTTTTGTTTTGTTTTTGTAAGACAATGAGCAACTTGAACACTCCACTTTTATGTATGCATCTAAACAAGAAACTAAAGAAAGATGAAGAAAATAGTCGTCATTTAAACTAGTGTTTTAAAAGGCGAAAGTGTGGGGCGAGAGGCGTAAGCTTTGAGACACGGGATATAAGTCCTATGGATCTACGAAGCGTATATCTTATGCACGTTCAATTTTATAATTTTATTGCGAAGAAAATAAATAAAAGTAAAACTTTCAATGATTCTGCAAATAAATTTAAATAAATCACCAATAGTGTAGAAAAAAATTATTATAAAGCATCATCCATCTCCACATTTACGAGAACTCCCATCTTCAACTAATGTTTGCACTGATTATTGTTTATATATATCAAAGAAGGAAAGAATAAAAAGTGCAAGTTTTAGGCACGATTAACTAAAAAATTATTTATGACATACTCCCTCGTCTCATTTTATATGTTATATTTTTACTTTGTACTTGCATTAAAAAATGATGTACCCTTATTTAATTTTTTTGGAACTCAAGTTTTTAATCAATGAATATGAATTAATTTATTTTGATTAATTAATTTAACCAATAACATGAATCATTTACTTAGCTTTTCTAAGTTGGTCAAATATATATTTTCAATGCTAATAACTCACAAGGGTAAAAAAGGAACAATATGGTAGTTTACACATTGATTTTATGAATGACAAGTATTATGGACTAATTATTTATAGAAAACAATGACATATAAAATGTGACGGAGGGAGTATCATTTTCTATGAGAGTTGCTTTATTTATTTGTATAATATAGAAAAAGTCACTATAAAGTGAAAAATATGATAGCATAAAATATAAATATCATTACACCAATAATATAAAAATGAATTATAGTTAAAAATAATAAAAATAAAATTAACGTTCAAGACGTACGTTTTTATGCCCGAAACTTACCCCCAAATTGTAGGGCTTACATCTTATGAATGTAGGCCTTCAATTAGCGCCCCAGATTGTTATTGAAAAGCCTCATCCTAGAAAAACACCTTTGAAAACACTGATTTAAACGAACAATATAATTTACAAAATACTAAATTGTTCAATCCAATAATTGAATCTATGTATCAATTACATTTCTTCAACAACTTCCTCTGTCTTTCTCTAAACAAGTCTACCCAAAGATTCATCACCCACAATATACTAACCAAGATTGCACTTACAATCACAACCATCCAAGACATCCACATAGCCCTACAAATCACACCATCTCCTTTTCCACTTGCAAAAGCCAATCCCATCTTATAAACAAACAATGGTCCAAGAATCCCTCTAACCAAACTATACAACATATAAAATACTGGTGACAATTTATCATACAATTTAGCAGCAATAGGTGTATCGATTCTTCGATATCTAGCAAGACTCCATATGTTTTGCAAAGGACTTGTGATCTCAGCTAGAACAAGAAGGCTAATAACAGTAACTCCACCATGATGAACGATGAATCGACAAGTTAAAAACACGTAAAGAGTAGCCAAATGATGAGCAATGAATAGAATATCACTTGGATGAAGGATCAAGTAATGTAAAAGATCAACTAAGAAGTAAGCAATGCTATATTCAAGAATCATTTCTTGGAATGTTGAGTTTTTTATGGAAAAATCAAGAATTTGGAATGAAGTTTGGGAGATTGAGTATATGGATAAGATAGTAGCAGGGGTACCATGTACTAAAGACATTATACAACTTGAAGCATCAAATTTCAATTTTTCTTTCCAATCTTTGAAAATGATAAAATATCCAAAGAAATAAATGATAGAGAAAAAAAGACTAAATCCAATAAAGTTTGGTTCCAAGATTTTCAAAGTTTCCATTAGGATATCAAGAAAAGATTGAATCTTTTTTATGTAATTTTTTTTGGGGATAAAAAATTTCTAGCTATAGAGAATCTAACAAGGAAAAAAACTATTATTTATTTTCAATTTTTAGGTATTAGTGAATTATTGTAATGTGATTGATGTATGTATATATAATAAAAAATAAAAATCCCTTCATAAAGAAGAAAGGAACATCTCCCAATTCCCACACGTTATACTTTGTGCTAGGAGAATATTCCAAAACATGATTGATTAATAACCCCATTTGGTGATAGGGTAAGAATATTTTACATTTATTTTGGTGGAAATTCATTTATTTTGCTTAAAAAGCTAAAAGAAAAAAATACTCACAATAATAATATACACATTACACAATATAGGGAAGAGAAGGGAAGGTAAGATGTAGCAGACCTTATTCCATCTTTGTGTGGTAAAATAATATGGAAGTTAAATTTTTTATTAAGGGTTATAAAATTATTATAAAGTAAATACAAAAAGAAATTAAAGAAATTTAACATTTACTATATAAATATAAAATTAATTTTAACCTTATATAAATTATTATAATTTTTTACCGAAAAGGATTTACCTAGCTCCCTTCCTTAAGAAGAAATTATTTTTTCTCAACTCAAGAAAATCATTAAACATAGATAAGTTATTTTCTATTGGATCCTCCACTCAAGAAATCTTGCGGGACATAAATTATTTGGAAAAAGTATATCCTCCCGTGAAGTACTAAACTATCTATGTGTTGCTTTACTACCTTCAAATATAATTATTTTGCATCATATGAACAATCTCTTCGCGTTAAATATAATTTTATCTTTAAAAATTTTAAATAATGGATATTCTTTTGAAAATATAAACTTATGGGTTAAATTTTACATTTTTAAAAATTTGAAATTCCACATCCTACTTTTTGGAAGATTTAAAATTTGAAATCATGATTTGAAGTTGAAATTTATGCGGATTTCATAAACAAACACTGATTTAAAATCAGGCTCCCACATCTTATAGCCAAACACTACGTTTGGACTGCAATTTGAAATCATGATTTTAAATCTCAAATTCTCCAAAAAGTAGAATTTGAGATTTCAAATTGTAGAAATCTCATGTAATAAATAATAATAAAATTAATTTAAGAAAAGTCTGTAGTTTTAACTTTTTAAGGGCAAAAGTGAACCAAAATGATGAATGAAGAAATATTTTAGCAAAATAAATGAACGAAAGTTTTATATATATATATATATATATGCACTTTTGTGTATTTTCAGTTCATCAACTCATTTGCCACATTTCTCTAATGGTAGTTTATGCTCCTTTTCTTCATGATGACCAGTCCACCTAGGTGAGCTCCCCAAAGCAAAATTAGTGCCAAATCTAGATAGAGGAGCAAAATTTGCGATAAATTGATAAAAATAGTTGAGCATAAATACCTCAAAATGGATATGTAGTTGATAGTCTGATGTAGGGGTGACCAAAACTTTCACCAAATCGTAAATCGAGTCAAATTCATAAAAAAAATCTAATTAGTAGTTTGGTTTGACTTTATTTGATATTGAAGAAAAAGAATCTGACTATATTGAGTTGGTTTGATTTTAATATTAAAAAGTTAATTCGAAACCAAATCCATCCGACAATATATATATATAATTTTAAAAATTATTTTATACATAAAAGTATTTACTTTGATATAATTTATAAATATTTCTTATACATTTTCATAATTTTTATCTTTTAACATTTTATTTCAAGTTTGACTTAGAATTTTGAAATTTGTCCAATAAAATTTTTATTCCATAGATATTAATAATTCTTACAAAGCTTAAATCAAAATCAAATCAATATTGTTCCTAACAAAAAAAAAATCTCATATACAGAGAATGACAGTAATATTGAATATTTGTTCTTTAGTTATATATTGGTTTAGATGTATTTTAGCATGATTCATACTTTAAAATTATGATCATTTTTATTTTGACTTATTTATTTGCAATATTTGTTTTATATGATATCGTTATTATTTTGTTGAATATTTTAGTGTCATTACTCATATCATATTTTTGTGTTATTTTCTTAAGAAACACCTTAGATAAATATATTTTAGTAAGACTAAAGAAATATTTGAAACACAAGTTAATTCCAAGTTTGAAAAATCTGAATTTATTGGTTTGGTGTAGATTTAAAAACCCGTCATAAATAGTTTGGTTTGGTATTTAAAAAAACCCTAACCAACCCGATCCATGTACACCCTTAGTATGATGTGTGTACTGAGGTGTGCTTGGAGTTTGAATTAGGAATCTCAATGTGTTTTGAACCCTAAAATATTGAGCCAACCTCTAATCTTGAGCGGAAAAATGACCAATCAAGATTTGTTGATGAAAGAAGGTTGTTTGTATTAGGCAAATATGATGTTCAGTTGTAAAATGACACTTGAACTAAAGACAGTTCTGATGATAGCTTACATAATAAAGAAGTCTTTTTCAGTACAAAACCTCAACAAGATTTTTCAGAAATAATAATTTATTTCATAATCATCTCAAGTAGGAAATACAAACTACACAAAAATCCTTGCTTCATTTGACCTAAAACTGTATCAATCATTCATTTGGCTGAAGAGGAATCAAAAGGTTGTAATTTTCCAAAACCTCTTACATCACCATACCCCCATCAATAGTTAAAACCTACAACAACATATAATTGAAACATTAACATCCTCAATGACAACAAATTCTGCATTCAAACATGAACAAGCTGTATATAGATGCTAATAATATATTAAAACCTGGCCAGTGATGTAATTTGATGCTGGATTAATGGCCAAGAATTCCACAACTCCAGCAACTTCTTCTGGTTGACCATACCTTCCTGCAAACACATTTAAGAAGTAAGCATGAAAACAAGATCAACTCTAGGGGATCAAATAACAACAATACCACTCAAAGTATATGCACTATCCTGACTCAATCTAAAACAAGCTGAGGTCGACTATATGAATCCTCACTAACTGTGTCGCTCAATCTAAGCTCATTACAGTCCAATTCCAATATTATACGAAACGAAAAGAAAAAAAAGTACTATTTAGTTATCTATATTTCGACAGGACTAAAATACTCCTAGTAAACACATTATCTAAAGTAAATGTACTAACATGGTTAAAACTTAATCACAACTAATTGACATTGCCTACATAAACCTTTTATTTGTGCCCTAATTTTCGCTAGGTCTGCATGGATTCCAAGAGATTGTAGGTCCTTCAAGACAACTATCTTTCATGTAACTACTTCGTGTATAATTTGAAATACTGATTTCAATTTAGAAGATTGATTTCACGGTTCCTCCCATAAATTCTGGGATAGGTCTCCTACCTAAAGGAACAAGCATAAGCAAGCAGCAGAACTATGAAGAGGCAGGAAAAAATCATCCCTGGGGAGTTTCACGCTCGAGACCTATCATCTATGTAAAATAGATGAGAGTGAGAATGAGCTCTAGTACAGAAAGCCACACTACTAAGCAAAGCTAACCAACGTTATTAAACCTTATACGACTGCATTTCTTTTTCCTCATCAATGATCAACACATGTGAGGCAAGTAGTCTCTCTCTCACATGGAAGACCTAAAAGTTTTTATTATGAGCACATCCAAGACCTCAAGGTAATGCAAGTGCCCGGACATAGCTTGACGTCATCTCAAGGTGCTGCTTTATGCAGCTCTCACCCTGCAGAGGTTGTCAAGTCCAACATCATTTACAAAATCCCAAGATCTTTAATTGGATACTAGAGAGGATGACTTGGAGTTTACCAACTCCTCATTTGCCATCTCGTTTTTGCTTTGCCAACTGAAGCAGGATTTGTGACAACGATGGCAACAACAATTTATTCAGACATAGTAGCTAAGTATGTGGAGAGAAATCTGACCTAATGGGATTTGGCCCAAAATCTTTTTCTCGATGTCATCCCCTAGCTTAGCAGTCATATCGGATGCAATGAACCCAGGGGCAACAGCATTCACCTGTTAATGCAGAGGACATATTAGATTGAAACAGAGATTAACTAATGTAACCTGAAGTTTAGCATGTCTCAACAACTTACATTAATATTTCTACTTGCATATTCCTTGGCCACAGTTTTAGTCAGACCAATAACACCAGCCTTTGCTGCACTATAGTTAGCTTGCCCAAAATTGCCAACAAGGCCAACTACTGATGCTATATTGATTATCTTACCCTGTTCACAATCAGACAAATGGTATTAGTATTGGAGATCAAATTTTGAGGAAAATAAATGGTTTTACAAATGACTCATAAAATGTCGTCCTGAATCTATATTTGCCGACACTTCTGCAATGAGAAAATTAATTATAAAGCTGAAACAACTTCCCTGCTTAAGATGAGGAAGTACACTTACCCCTTTCCCTTATGAATGAATGGAACTAGAATGATTTTTTTTAGTGGGGAAAAGAAAACCTTTAGCAAAACAAGAACCATAGTGGAAACTTAAAAGGGTTACAAATCACATGAATACAAGTACCTTTTTCTTCTTCATCATAATCTTGGCTGCCGCCTGCAAATAGCAAGATGTTTAGATTCACAATCTAAATTTTTGAAACTTACCAAAGTGAATGATATCAATAATCTGAAAGGCACCTGTGTACAGAGATATACACCAGTTAGATTTAGATCAATAACCTCCTGCCACTGTTTAGTAGTCATTCTCATTAATAAACCATCTCTTGTAATACCTGAAATCAAATCATCGGAGAATTTTCAGTGGGTAAAGAACTGATGTACTAACTAAGAGGAGTGTCTTTTCTATTAACCTGCATTATTTATTAAAACATCTACAGTTCCCCAAGCATCAACTGCCTGCAGAAATTTCACAAAACCATAATTAGAACATGGATTTTCCAAACAATAGGCAACTTCCAAATATGCTCACAGTTTTTATCATAGCTTCCACATCTGCTTCTTTGGAAACATCTCCACCAAAACTAAGAGCCTGGCCACCACATGCCTCAATCTGTTGAAAGCATAATAATTAACAACCATATGTATATCCCGTTAGGCCATTAAGAAAGAAACTTCAAAGTTAAGATCAACTACAAAATCCAGCAAAGACAAAGGTTAACCACCCCACCCCCTAACTTTCAATAGATGGGGACAACCACCAGTTGTCCTAACTATATTGCACCATATGTGATATTTAGTACATTCACATCATGAAAGATAGTCACTCAGGAGGCAGCACTTCACCTCTTTGCAAACTTCTTCAGCCTCCTTGGATGACCTTGCATAATTAACAAGAACCTGCAACAAGGAGTTCATGACAAACCTTTTCAGAAGCAAACATTAAACAAAATGATTAGTCATAGTCGAGCATAGGAGAATCTGGAGCAGAGAAAGCAACATGAAACAATGAACTCTATGTCTATGTGAATAAAACCTGTATCAAACACTGTTACAAAACTTTTCACTGATTTATAAGACCTGTATGAACTATTCTGCTGAACCCAAAAGTAAAAGAACTGCACTTGTTACCAAGTTTCTCGACCAGAAACTTCATACGTCATGTTACAGTAAGATTTGTGTAGATGCGTATTTCTTGAGTTTGTTTAGCCATGCATACTATGCACTATTAGCATTTAGCACAGAACAAAGGAAGATAGTCCTAGCAATGCAGCAGGGGGCTTCAGGTCAAATACTTTAGTAGTTACCATCTCACCAAAAAAACGTGTATGTCCTATCTATTCCAATGCTTTTCCCATATGAACCATTTCTAAAAACAATTTAAAGAAGCTTTCCAGAACAAAGTAATGCTTGGGAAACCGTATACCAACTAAATGAATTTCGTCGATTTTAATGTTTTCATCATTTCAGACACTGCTCTCTGCTTGTTTGTACCAGTTACAATCAAATTTATTCGGCCTTATTATGTAAGTTTGTTTAACATAGCCATATGTTGTACCTTACATCCAGCTTTCCCAAGAGTCAATGAAATAGCTTTACCAATACCTCTGGAAGCTCCAGTAACAATAACAACAGGAGCCTCAGTTTTAGGAGCAACTTGAGCAGCTGCTTGTTCAACTGTGACAGCTTGTGCTTTTACAACTGCACCAAAGCATCATTATCAATGAATAAAATAGAGTTCTCTACTTTTTTTTCTTTTTCTGGAAAAAGTAAAGTAGTTTCATATGTAAAAACTAGCACAAAGCCTGTGTTATTAATCACAATTTTTTTGGAAGCAAAAATATTGCCCTAGGGCTTGTAACACTGATTCAGCGTCATAAACAGTTTTCCTCCTCAACCCGAACACGCTCTTTCTTCAACATACACATTATTAACAAATGATTGAACGAAGACAAAACTTTAATCAATACATCTAAAATTTCCCCAAAATTCGAAACACGATCACTTGTTACTCATTGTTATCTGGTAAATCATATAGTAAAAGATATGAAGTATAACCAGAGGAAAATGGATTTTTGTTGTTTGATCTGCATTGCAAGTTGGAGTAGTTTATGGGGTGGAGTGTATTAGACAAAAAAGGTTGCCGGAAATGACAGATTTTGTGGCCGCCGGTGTCAGTCATTGTGATTCCCGCTGCCATAATAGCCGATCCAGAAGCAGAGGAAGCCATGGATGAAACAAACAACAAATTCGTAATGCAACAAACTAGTATATCAATATGTAGGTAGTTGTAGAGTTGGTGTTTCGATGTTTTCCACAAAGCACCAGCTGCCTTGCTTTAATGGCATTTGCGGGAGGGCGATCAATACAAGGGGTTATTGTTCATCTTGCCTTCGCACTTTTATACTCCCTCCGTCCACAATTGTTTGACAGATATATTAAAAATAGATGTTCAAGATTAATTGTCAATTTAAACAATCAAGAAATAATTAATCATTTTTTTCCAATAATGCCCTTAATGATAGTGTAGCTCAGTTGAAAAGTTATATAGACTTTTGATATTCTTGGTATAATAAAATTATATTAGTCAAATTACACCTTGTATTAAATTTTCCTTGAGGGGTGTGCATGACCTTATCTTGACAAACAATTGTGGACGGAGAGAGTATGTCATAAATCATAATAGCATACCAAAATTTGCTAGAATGTACAATAACAATGTAAATAATAATGTATTAGTAATATTTGTATTAGTTATGCTTAGTTATGATGAATTTTTTTTTTATCCAATTTATTTATAAAAATACCCTCCACAAATATACTGGAAAGGATGTAAAAAAAGTTGTTGAGGGCAATTGTGTCTTTAATAATGTTAATGCATGCATTAGAACCCATTGCATTAGACCATCTCCAACCCACCTCTATTTTATTTTCCATTCTATCTATTTGGAAAGTAAAATAGAGAATGAGCACTCCAGCCCACCTCTATATCACTCTATATTCACACTTTCTATTTCACTTTTTGATTATTTTATTATTATTTCTATTACTTCTAATTAACATATTATTTTACATGTAATGTCATTAATTAAATATCTAATATTCACAATTATTTTTAAATGTAATATGATATTTTTAAAAATATATTATTTAATATATACTACTTTCATCCCGAATTAATATTATTTAAATTTTTCTAATTTTCGTCAATAATATAATTTGATTTTATTATTAATTTTCACTATATAGAATACACAAAATTAAAATGATAAGATGAAAATTTTAGTTTGAAAATACAATACATAATATGATGATTTAATTACAAGATAACAATACAATACATAACATAATAATTTAAATACAAGATAAAATAAATACATAACATAATAATTAATTCACGATAAAACAAGAATCATGCCGAAAAGATGTTGAACGTGCATTCAGAGTTTTGCAATCACGTTTTGTAATTATTGCAAGACCGACACGTTTTTGGAGAAAGGAAGTGCTACATGATATAATGACTACATGTATTATACCGCACAACATGATAATTGAGGATAAATGTGATCCTAATGCATCAATTCAAGATGCCGTAGAGGCTCCAACTCCAACGACATAAATGGTGGTAGATGAAAATCTCCGATTTGAACAATTTTTAGCTAGACATAAAAAAATTAAGGACAAAAATGCTCATTTTGAACTCCTTAATGCATTAATAGAGCATTTATGGGTAATGGGAGCAACATAATAATTTCAAAAATTGAGTATTTATGTAATTATATTTCACGTTTATTTGAATTTGTCCATTAATTTGTATATTATATAATACTTTCTTGCAATTTATGTTATTTAAAAATTTAGAATATAGTAGCATAACAAAAAAGCCTTCCTCGTCATTAATATCTTTGCTCACGGCAATTGTGATCTCTTGGGAGAATCGATGACTGCATCAAAGATGCAGTGCTAGTACATCTGAGACTTCTTAATTGGCTAAAATATAATTTTATATTAAATAAAAAAATTTAAAAAATATAATTTTATATCACATGAAAATTATATAAAGTAATTATTGAGAAAAAATAAAGGATTTATATTATGAAATAAGAAAATAAAAATGAAATATAAATAATAATATAATATTGAAGAGAAAGAAAAAGATTTTTTTTTAGAGAGTAAAATAGAGAATAGAATTGGAGTTGGTTGTCTGAAAAAATAGAGAACTCTATATTTGGAGAGTAATAAACTAATGCATATGTTAGAAAAGTGCACCAAACAAGGTACTAATAATACAATAAGCTAATGCAAGCATTATTTTCTCTAATACACTCTACCAAACGACCCCTAACTGTTTTATCTTTTAATTAGAAGGTTTTGGGTGAGTTCGGTTATAGAGAAAATTTTATTCGGAGCACGCTCTCAAATGGACCCTCTGGTGCGTTATTCAAATTTAGTTGGAATTGGGCATTAGATACTACTTGTGAAATAAAAAACACTTAAACATGCTTCTTTCTGTCCTTAATTATTTGTTCAATTTTTCTTTTTTTATTTATCTATTTTGACAAACTAAGAAAGGTCAGTTTCTTTTACATATTATATTCTCAATTAGTTAATTTTGAAAAAAGTAGAATTTTTTGAAAATCTTAATTTTTTAATTCATCTACTTCATAATTAATAAGGGTCAAATAGTAAATTCACTATGCCAATTATTGTTTTCTTAATAAGTGTGTCAATTTCAAAGTGAACAAGTAATTACGAATAGAGAAAGTATAAAATTCCTTTCTCCTTTTTTTTGAGACAGGTGTCAAAACACACCTAAATTGATTATCAATAACAAAGGGGTTTATGAAAATGAGGGTGCAAAATACAGTATATAAGTAATATAATGTAGAAGAATTGGTAGAATAATTCATTAATTTGGACAGAAAAAGATATTTTGAGTAACGTACCAACATACTTGGAACAAATATTTACTAATAACAAAAATATCCATTGATAAACTAAATGAAAATAAATTATATGGAAAATAAAGGCAATTTTAGCAAATGCATTTGAGTTTTCATCCTCTCTCTCCTTTCTTTCTTCTAATTGAGCTTGAGATCTTCTCCTTCAACACTGTTAATATAATAACTGAGTTCATTAATCCAAACAAATGAAAGAAAAAATAATGTGATAATTTTGTATTAATATTATAAATCTCAACTAACAAATAAAGTGTCAAAGTAATAAACGTGATAATAGATCACGACTTCTATCAGGTTATTAATTAAGTAACACTAATTTGAGATCGGAGAACAATATTAGTTTTACCTTTGTTCATCATCATCACGATTGTTGTTATGACCACCACTTACCTCTTCATTTTTAAGCAAATGAATTAGACTTGCCTCAATTTTTTTTATTTCTACCATAATTTTTTCAAAGTGAAATTTCACTTCTTCCACATTCTTCCCAGTGACATTAACCAAATAACGCCACATATCTAGTGTTTCATCAAAGCCACAAATAGCCAATGCTTTGAGAAACTTCATCTGTTCCTCCCAAGTCCATACTGAATTTGAGTTCATTTTTGCAAATACAAAGAAATTAAAGAACTATGATGTTTGATACTAAAAAGGTTAACATGAATTCTCTCTCTATATATAGCAATTTTGAGAAACATAAATAGAAAAAAAAATGATAGGCCTAAAATAAGTCATAAGTTAATTATAACTAATTATTTTAGATTTTCTTGCGAGTAATATATTTTCTTTTTCAGACATAAGATAAGTATGCCAGATCAAGAAAATTGTGAGATAGTAACGTATCTTTTAGGATATAAATCAAATAAGGATAATTATATTAAGTTTTAGTAACTCGAAATCAAGTGAGGATAAGAATGAAGTCAAAGTTTGACTTTAGTCAACATTTTGGGTAAACGAGCTTGGATGAGGATTTCGTCAACACGATTAGCTTGAAATGTTGAGATTGGTCTAGAATGACCCTTCGTTTAGATCCCGAGGCCTCCGAGCTAATTTCAAGTCCCCTTGTGAATTTTGGCTTAAAACGGAGTTGGGTGTGGGACCCATATTCTATCAAGACTGTCACACCCCGAGCCTACACCCTGGATGTGGCCGACACTCAAGAACCATTGCTAGCCCCAAGCGAACCCTTGGCCTGACTCAACTCTCAGCGGAGGATTTTCTCAACATAAGATGAACTCAAATATAAAACTTTAACTCAATTGTCTCAAATAAATAACTTAGAATATAATAGAATATTCAACTAGCCAAAAATAGGCAACTTAAGTCTTTAAAATTGTAATGCCCTGAGCCTACACCATGGACGTGGCCGGCCCTCGAGAACCATTGCTGGCCCCAAGCGAACCCTTGGCCTGACTCAACTCCCAGCGGAAGACTTACTTAACATTAGATAAACTCAAATGAAGGTTTTAACTCAAAAGTCTCAAATACTTAAACTCAGAATATTTAGAAATAAACATTCATCTGGCCAAAAAGGCAACTCAAGTCTCAACATAAAGGTTTGTAATCTTTTATTAAGGCTTAGTGTTTAATGAAGTGGAGTTAAATCCTACAGAGGTGTAGGTCGTGATTTTTTACTTGAGCCGGGGTTTTCAATGATCAAATATTATGTCATTACTTTATTTGCTTTACATAATGTAACAGTTGTAATATGAAAAGGAACATATAGAATATACTTGTTCTTTAGGTAAATTTGGGGGTCAGTATTCCAACAAATGGAAATGAAAAAGACTCATGAACTACTAATGTCTATCTATGAAATCTCTAATACTATGAGGGATGTCAGGACAAGACCCCCAATCATCCTAACAAAACTGAAATACTAGAAATAAATAAGGAATCCCCCGGAAGGAAGGAGGCTCACCAAACAACTATGAAACACGACTGGATCAACGGAGCGTCGATTGATGATCATGATTTCCTGTATCTGCATCATAAAAGATGCAGGCCAAATGATGTCAGTACATGGAATGTACGAGCATGCAAGGGAAAATCTAAAGCATGACATAAGTTTGAACTGGAATTGAAGAAACAACTTACATCGTCTCAACTCAACCTCAACTCAATTCAATATAAAAGCAATGACAATAATGCAATATAAGAAAAGCTTTTAAAACAGTAGCTAGCAACTCAATGTATTGAAAAAAATACAATAATAACTTAGTTTGTATGTAAAAATACAAAATAACTATGTTTGGAAGATTCTCTAACCAACAACCATCACTATGAGTTATGTGATGATACAATGTCTCACCCACGCTGCCAGAACTGTCTTATACCTTGCTGGGGTATAGAACTC